TTTAGTTATATTTATATAATGTTTTTAATTATATATTTAATTTATTTTAAGGTTGTTAGTGTTATATTACAATTTTTTATATTAGTTTATTTATATTTTATATAATGTATAATTTTTTCATTGGCGTTCTTAGGTGACTTTCATTATGTATAATTTAGTTTATTTATATTTTATATAATGTATGAAATATTGTGTTGTTAAATTTTGTTATAGATCATCTTCTACATCTATGCGTGTGACATGTGGACCCGTTGAGGATGATTTATTGACATTACAAAATATACATGTTTCACAACATGTTTGGAATAGAGAAGATGATAGGAGATTAATAGCACGACGTGCTGCTCCAACACGCAATGAAATTGACGGAATTCCACATCAAATAGTTCCGTTATTAGACCAGGCAGGATTTGGATATGGATTGCTCGGTTGAGTTATATCAAAGTTAGTCATGGTTTGTTAACTGCTTTGGTAGAACGATGGAGACCAGAAACACACACATTTCACATGCCATTTGGAGAATGCACAATTACTCTCCAAGATGTTGGTATGCTTGTTGGTCTTCCAGTTGACGGTGAAGCACTGTTAAGTCGAGGTAGTGCTAATATATTTGAATTAGGTACTAAAATAACTATACTTTAAGTTTTTTTTTGTTATACTAATTGTCTTTTATAATATTAATAATCGGAAAATAATTTGTTGTCATATGACCATATCTTCGACCATCTGCATCATATGTCATGCTCCATTTGTCTTTTGATATCCCTCCTATCCACCTTTCAACATCAGGGCTAGATTCACAAAACTTTTGCAAATTGCGATAAAAAATGTGCTTACACGGTGTATACCCTGCATACAAATTATAAATAATGCACAATAAATTTTTTTGAAATGATTAAAAAATTTAAAATAACAATACGTACCTAACTTCACAAGCTTTTGTTTAAGTTTCACATCCTTGAATCGAGTATTAAAATTACTTGCAATGTGCCTAATGTAGTACTTGTGATATGCATTTGGCGTTCTCCAACCAATTGCCTCATTGTCAATGGCCGATTTAATGCTACGATGTCGATCAGATATTAAACATGTCCCTTCTTTATTTGTAACATGTAACCGCAAATGAGACAAGAACCACGACCACGCAAGTAATGTTTCTCCTTCAACCACAACAAATGCAAGAGGAAGAATGTTGTTATTACCATCTTGTGCTGTAGCAATGAGCAATATACCTCGATACTTGCCATATAGATGAGTGCCATCAATTTGTATCAAGGGTTTACAAAAATTAAAGGCATCACAACACGGCTTGAATGTCCAGAATAATCTGTGAAATTGACGGTAACCACGATCACAACGATTACCAACAAAAAACTCATCATGACACAGATCATAAAATGACCCTGGAGCAATTTCTTTCATGTATTGGAGCCATCGAGGTAAATAAGCATACGATTCTTCCCAATCTCCAAAAATGTTAACAATTGCTTTTTGTTTCGCCATCCAAGCCTTTTTATAAGATATTTTGAACCCAGTTTGAGATGTTATTCTCTCTTGGATAAGGCTAATCTTGATTGATGGATCTTGGTTAACCATTCCTACATATTAAATATTAGTAATCACTAAGATAAATTGTTATTAATATAAACTATAAACTTTGTAGAAATTACCTTGTATAAATGATTCAATTAACTCAGAATCTAACTTAGCATGATCTTGGGATAAAGACATGTTCAAACACGTATGACGTCCACCCCACTGAGTCACTTTCCACTTATCAGATTTCTTTGACTCAATGGCTCTCATGTACCATCCACATCCATCATGTGCATTTGGACATCTAACAACCCACTTGGTCTTTTTCGACTCAACCACATAAAAACTTTGATGCATTCTCATTGCATTTTGCTTTACTGCATTTTTAACCGCATCTTTATTCTCAAACTCCAACCCCACATATAAATCTTGGCCAATTGACCAAGTATTACGCAGATCCATCCCTGGGATATCTTCTTCATCGGGATGATTCCAATTGATGTTAGTGTAGTGGGGTAAATTACCCCAAAATTGACTTCCACCTATTTTAATAATAATGAATTTAGTAATTTCAATAAAATCAATTTCAACAATTTATTTTAAACAAATAACAAATTATTGACAAATTTAATTTTCAGATGTTACCTTCAGTAGATGGATACATTGAAATTGGTTCAACCATTGGACTATTAACAAGAACATCCGGCTGCACCTCATCATCAGATGGTTCACAATTATCAATTTCATCTTCATTGGATTCATCAATGCTTTCATATGATGATGAAACATGATAGTCTTCATCTTCTTCGTCATCTTCATCTTCGTCTCTTGTGATCAAAGGTGATCGTTCAATTGACAAATTTTCTAATGAAAAAGTAGAAGATTCTTGCATACCTATTTCAGCATATAATTCCATTATTGGCATCACATTCTGGCTCTGAAATGCTTCTATCATGCATTGTACATCATCATCGTCACTCAATTCCAATGAAGAATATATGTTGTTATCACCTTGTGAAACTAAAAATCTGTAACTTACAGATAATATCACTTGATTTGAGTTAAGACCAAATTTGTTGTGAATCCTTCTCTTTAATATATCCAAAGTGATACCTCGTTTAATATACATTCCTTTTCTTGGTCCATCAAATGTTACACCTTCAGCACCTTCATACATCTTTCCAGTGTAAATATAAGCAATCATTTGATCCATAATATCTGCAACAAAAAAAATTAATTAGTGCAAATAGCTACAATTTATATCTTAACAAAAACAAAATTATACTCACCGAATCAGAAAGAAACGTAACTGGCTCAGAATTTTAAATCAGACCAAAACGTAACTGATAAATATATGATTTCAACTGCGAAAAAACCGTAGCTAGGAGGGGGTATATATATTGATATTGTCGCTATGGGCCATAGCGACACAGTGTCGCTATAGGCCATAGCGCCACTTTAAAAAATAAATATAATTTAATTTAAAATTAAATTTTTACAGAACTTAATTTTAATTTTATAAATATATAATAAATAACTCAGTTTATTATTTTTATTTTACATTTATATTATTTTCATTTTTTTTCTTCTTATAGAGTGTCGCTATGGGCTACATCATTTTTGTTAGTTCATCAACTGTGGTGGTGTTAAACGATTTCTTTCGATATAGACTAAAGAATGATTTCATATTTGATGGATGGTAATTGTTAAGTTAAAAAGAGCAAATGAACTAAATTGAACTTTCATCAAACACTTGGAATGCGATTTTGGAGATTGACTTATATGAATGAAATGTTAGGGTTAGACTTCACCAACTTTAATCTCATGCATAAAAAACATTCTTTCTCATTCAAACATTAATGCTAGCCCACTAATTTTCTCAAATTCCAATTCCTTGGTTAAAAGAGCCTAAGTTTCATTACCAATTATCAATCCCTTGAATATTTCAATAAATCCACTTGCATTAAGTTTAAGGGCTCCAAACAACAAGTAACTCATGTTCCATTCCTAGACACAAGTTTACAAGGTACCACATTCTCAAACAAGATTACCAATGATATTCCCACACCAAAAGTAATCACAAATAATGTAATGGTTAATCATTCCATACAAGCATAAAGCACAAGAACATGATACTAACATTTGAATGAAGAAGATAGACATATATATATATTTAAACAAGTTACATGAGAGTCAAGTTGGCTACATCTAACCCCAACAAAGGGGTTTTAGCAATCCATGTCCATGAGATTAGCAAGATAGATCAAAAGAGTAAGAATGGAAGAAAACCAGGGAGAAACAATGGTGAAGAGATGAGCCCTAGCTTCTCCCCTTCAGACCTGCGCTCTGCTCCTCGTTTGGTTCTGCTTCCAGCTGCCTTTCCTTCATGCTCAGCCAGAAATTATATCAGTCTACACAACTCCTTTAAGTGACGCGCTCAGCGCGATAATATGCGCGCTTGGCGCGTGACGGAAGGCGCGCCAGGTGCATGATTGGGCACGCCCAGCGCGTTGCCAAGTCTCCATCAACTCCCTGATCCAGTGCGCTGAGCGAGTTGAGCTATGGGCTCAGTGCGAGTCTACTGAATATGCCAGCTAGTTTCATTGGAGTTCAATCCAGCTTCTTCTCTTTGACATGACTTCTTCCAACATGATTACCTATCCAAAAAATCACAAAAAATAAGGATTAAATCTGTATAACCCTGTATGTGTAACCAAAGTGTCGTTACTTACAAAAAAGAAGTTAAATTGAGGATTACATAAGTCAAAAGTTAGAAATGAGTTGAATGTGTTAACAAATTTGGTACTAGAATGTAAGTAAAAATTAACATTATCAACTCCCCCAAACTTAGAACTTTGCTTGTCCTCAAGCAAAAGGTAACTTGTTAGTACAAAAAAAAATCACTTCATCAACAAAGACAGACTACTTGAGAATATGGTGCAATTCACTCAAAAATCAGATATGCAAGCTTCCTCTCAAACTTAGTCTCTCGAGGGAAATGAAATTCCCTGCCAAACATTCACTATGGTGCTCACAATGCAAGAATGACAAGGATGTACTTAATTATTTTACAAAAAACTAACCACCATGGCCAAATAGATGTATTGATCAGCCCACAAATTCAACCTCACTAGGAAAAGTGTTTCACTCAAGCACATCGGTGTTTAGGGAATGTGTTTGTCCCTCTACCAACTCTAATGCCACCCAATTTAACTTTGTTTTTCGTTTCAACAAGTTCAAGAGACTATATTAGCATGCATACATCACAAGGATTCTCTCGGGGTTGTGCATGAGATCTGGCTAAGGGAAAATTTCAGGTTCTTTAGGTATAAACAATTGTATTGAGCTAGGAGAGCAAATGAATAATCATTGATTCCAACTCCACCCCCTTTCTTTCTAATGAATGATTCGAGCCAGCAATGTACAACTCTGATGTTCTTTTGTTTTCTTTTGTTTTGTTTTGTTTTTTTTTTTTGAATAAACAAGAAGGCATAAAATGAACTAGAGTTTTCTCCTTTTTCTCCAAGCTTACCCTGAAAGTGACTTCCTCCAAACTTGAATTACAACCCAATGATCATACCATTTGCTCTTAAGCTCAGCATAGGGTGTTAAAGTGGTTTCATCATAAGGTTCAGGATTATAAGAAGACCAGTATTATGTAAGCTCAAAGGAGGTTTGCAATGGTTGATATTTTCAACAGGGTTAGCTTTTTCTTGGCTTAACAAACTATGGACAAAAGGGAACATGATTTTTGATCATTTATACACATGCAAACAAAGCTCTCAACACAGAAATTCAAGCAAAGTCAATTGAATGTCAAAAGAATGGTTCTCACAAGAATAAACTCTGAAGCTCTTAATCTCACCCGGTTCAATTTATGTAATTCACAGGCTGTCCTACTTTGCCACAGTCCTTAATCACAAGTAAAACAAGCACTTACAACCATGCCATCCAAAACATAAGCACAACCACAATTATCAGATCGACAGAAAAATGCCATTCACTCAAAAGATGTCAGGATTTGAAGCAGCAATAACACAACTGATTCATCATGAAATGCAACACCAATCCCAAGAAAACGGTAAAATTATCCAAAGTAACTGATATAGTAGAAAATACGATGAAAGAAAAATAAAGATGGAAATAGTAAGAAAAATAGATAAGAACAAAAGGTGAGCAGGCCATCCCCCAAAATATGTCGCTGCTCCTCTCCACAAATGCCTCGATCATCAGACGGAAGCCGACTTAGAAGATTCCACGGCCTCGTCATCAATCATAGCATCAGCAGCTGCAATATCAGAAGCGGTAGGCATTTCTTCATCAACTCCAACATATGCTCCTAAGGAATCAAATGTACTCAATGGCTCTACTCTAATGGCTTCCTCAGAACTCTGAAGCTCTGGATCCACGGTGTTAGTAGGAATAGGGTGTCTAGCAGCCTCTCTCTCAACCTCTACATCAGGTTGCACCTATGGCTCTGTATCAGCAGCTCTATCTCCAAAAACTGTTGCTGGCTCTCCTCATCCCCCTTCAGAAATAGCCTGGACCCCAGGCCAAGTAGTGGCAGTGTCAAATTCTGCCATAGAGTAGGGGAATTGTAAATCAGGAGCAGTGACAGCAGCATGGGCCCTAATAGTATCCATAATCATCCACTGTGCCCGAAAAATCATCTGCATAGCTATATCAAAAACAACAGGACTAACCATTGTTGCCTGCTGTGATGGGATCTCAGGAACCTGGTGCTGAGGAGGAGGTATCTCGGGGGCCTGTGGAACCTGGGGCTGAGGAAAAGGTATCTCAAGGGCCTCTGCCTGTGGTGGGACCTCTGGTGCAGCAGCTGGGGCCTCCCCTTCATGAACAAGAGGAGATAACTGACAATGAGCGCTGACATATCTGGCATCTATAGACTGACGCGATCGCTCAAATGGCCCCACAGATGTGTCAACTCCTGCTCTCCTGCATAAATGAGTGATCAGTGAAGGGTGCCCTAATTTGGCATTGCCAACCATAGAGTCAGCACAACTCTGGATTTCCTCCGCAATGAGGGTTCCCAAATCTATCCTTTTCCCGGAGAGGATGCTGAACAGAATATAGGACCTGTTAAGGTGGATGTTAGAAGCATGATCAACTGGGGCCAAGTTGGAATGAATCAGAGTCATCCAAATCTTAGCCACTGGCAGGAGGTTGGTCCTCTTTATGTGTAAGGGTAGGCCCTGAACACTCCGGTGAAATCTGCCTCCCTCCCTGCACACTGCCTCTTCAATCTGGTCGTGCTTGATATCAGAGGGCATTGGAGTAGTTAAGAACTGGGAGTACTCACAACGCTGTCCAAGCTCAAGAGTTGTGCGGAGAAACTCATTGATTGTGGCAGGGGTAAAGGAAATTGAATGACCCCTCACATAGCTAGTGTAGGTGGCTGGAGCATCCTCATCAATGGTCACTGCGTTCACATAGAACTCCCGAACAATGGCAATGTTAGCTGGTTCGGGATAAGAGCCTAGCCTTTCCCACCTTCTCCTGGTGTACTCAGCTACAAAATCTGAAGCCTCCTCTGGCTTGAGAGACACCTTCCTCTCCATCAACAATTTCCTCCGCTCCATGGAAGAGAACTATTTTTCATGTTGCTTTGTGAGAAATCGATCAGAGTATGCCTGCTCTTTTCTCTTTGAAGGTCTGCTACTTTGGCCTTCAGAAGGGTTTCTTTGCCTCTTGGTTGTCATCCTACAGATAAGAGAAGTTAATCACCAAAATGTGTAGAATTAATACAAAAAAAAAAGAAAAATGGATGGTCGCGCTGGGCGCATAAGCAAGCGCGCTGGGCGCATAAGCAAGCGCGCTGAGCGCAAAAAGACATATTAAGTCTCTGCCTAAAAAGCGCTTGGAGCACAAGCCAGCGCGCTTCGTGCAAAAGGCATAATGCATCTCTGTCAAGAGCGCGCTGCGCGCACAAGCAAGCGCGCTGCGCGCGTAAAATAAACACTAAAATACATAAAAATGTAGGGCGCTGAGCGCGAGGGGGAATGCGCAAGGCGCGCTGCAAGTTATCTTCCAAAAAGATGAAGACGCGCTAAGCACGTACTCATCCCGCTCAGCGCGCTGCTAACTTTCAGTCCAAAAAATTGAAACAGAGCAACACGAAAACAACGAAAAACTACTCGAGTGGACGAACATTAATCGCCCCATGCAAATAAAACCAAAAACAACAACAAAGTAGGGAATGTACAGAAAAACGAACATCGAAAGCAAATATAAACAAGAAGCAGTGGAGAAACCTTACTTGATTGGGCGGATTGAGAGCAAGAATGCGTTATGTAGGCTAAGAAGAAGGAAAAAATAGTGTAGACAGGTGTAGAGAGGGTTAGGGTTTTGGCGCAAGAGAGAATGTGAAAGAGGAGAGTGAATAGGTACCAAATGAAGTCCCTTCCCTCTCGCGCCCCTTCAAATTCGTAAAGTACGTGCCCGACGCGAGTGGGATCGCGCTTAGCGCGTTGTGACTTTTGAATTCCTCTTAACACAAGAGGACGCGCTAAGCGAGCAAGAATACGCGCTGAGCGCGGTCTTGGCAGAGACTTGTGCCCAAAAACTTGACAAATTGCGTTTGGCGAGCAATACGTCGCGCTGAGCGCGGTCTTGGCAGAGACTTTTGCCCAAAAACTTTGACAAATTTCGCTGGGCGCGCTTGGCGAGCTCTTGGCAGAGACTTTTGTTAAAAATCTTTACCAATTGCGCTGGGCGAGAAAGGTGGCGCGCTTGGCGCCATGGAGATAGAGGCTCCCCACTTTTATTCGCTGAGCGTGCTCAGTTGCGCGCTTGGCGCATTTTTGGTGTTGTTGTCACTGGAAGTGGCGCGCTTTACGCCTTGTGACGCGCTTGGCGTGAAGAAAACAATGAGCTCCAGTGGTGTCCACGTCGGGCGCAATATCCTGCGCGCCGGGCGCGAATTTTAGTTTAGCCCAATTTCCCTATGTCCCCAAAAACTGAGTTTCTCATCCTTTCCCTTTGCGAAAAATTGAATCCTACTCTCAAAACTACCTATAACTAGTTTCTCGGTCTAACTAACACCTACCATCCTAACAATGCAAAACACCAGTCAAAACATAAACATACACACTATCAGACATGCAACTAAAATAAAACTTAAACACATAAAAGTTCAGATCATCTGGATTGCCTTCCAGAAAGCGCTTGTTTAACGTCACGAGCTTGACGACCTCTTTTGGTGCACTACGAGTCGCTAAGCTCAAGCTTAGCAATTAGCCTTTCAAAATCTCCACCAAGATAAGGCTTCAATCGCTGCCCATTAACCATCCAACTTCTTTTGGAAGCAGGGTCTTCAATTTCAACTGCTCCATAAGGCTTAACTTCTTTGATAACAAAGGGTCCGGACC